AGGTGCTCTACCACTGAGTCACACCCCAGGCCCTCACTCGGGGATTCTAGGCCAGGGCTCCACTGCTGATCTACATCTCTATTCCTAATACTGACCATGTGTTTTATATTGTGTACATGTTTATGTGTGTCTCTTAGCACATAAGGAGGTCAGACAACAATGCCAGATGTTTTCCTCAATTGCCTACTCTTTATTTTTTATTTTTCATTCTTTTTTGAGACAGTGTAGCCCTGGGATTAAAGGTGTGTGCCACCACGCCCAGCTATTTTTAATTTTCTAGTGGGTTTTTTCTTTTTCTTTTTCTTTTTTCTTTTCTTTTTTTTTTTTTTTTTAACAAGGTCTTCTTGTAGCCCTAGCTGGCCTGGAATTCAATATGCAAACCAAGCTGGCCTTGAGCTCACAGAGATCCACCGGCCTCAGCTTCCCGAGTGCTGGAATTAAAGATGTACATTACCACATCCGGCTGGCTGCCTGGCTATTTTTAATTTTTAAATTTCACTTATTTATTTGTGTGTATGATGGTAGGTGTGTGCATGCCATGACACTTGTGTGGAGTTCAGAGGAGAACTTGGGGCAGTTTTCTCTTTAGTCCATCACATTAGTTTTGGGGATCAAACTCAGATCATCACAATTGTTGGCAAGTGTCTTTACTCTCAAGCCATCTTGCTGGCCCTCATTCATTCATTCATTCATTCATTCATTCATTCATTTATGTAGATAGTTATCTCATTGAACCTGGAGCCAGACTAGGTAGCCTATAAGCCCCCAGGCACCCTCTAGCTCCACCTCCCCAGTCCTACAGCCCCTGCTTTTTGTGAAAATGCTTAGGGATCTGAATACAGGTCCTCATGCTTGCATAGCAAACACTTTACTTCCCGAACTATCTCCCCAGCCCCAATGCTGAGTTTTAAAAATATTTTATTTATTATTTTTATTTTATGTGTATGCATGTATTGCCTGCATGTAGGTAAGTGCACCTGTGTTGGATCCCCTGGAAATGGAGTTACAGACAGTTGTTAGCTGCCATGTGGGTGCTGGGATTCGAACCCGGGTCTTCTGCAAGAACAACCAGTGTTCTTAACTGCTGAGCCATCTCTCCAGCCCCCAATGCTGATTTTTAAATTACATTTATGCCGGGCGTGGTAGTGCACGCCTTTAATCTGAGCACTTGGGAGGCAGAGGCAGGTGGATCTCTGAGTTCGAGCCAGCCTGGTCTACATAGTGAGTTCCAGGTCAGCTGGAGCTATAGGGAGACCCTGTCTCAAAAAGACCAAAAAAAAAAAAATTACATTTATTTATTTTGTGTGTGGATGCATGCAAGCCAGGTCATTGTGTGGAGGTCAGAGGGCAACTTCATGTTGGTTCTTTTTTTAAAACTTAAAAAAAATATTTAGTGTGTATGAGTATATTGCCTGCATGTGTGTAAGCATACCCATGTCCTGCAATGCCCATGGAGGTCAGAAGAAAGTGCTGGATTCCCCTGGAACTGGAGTTACAGACAAATGTTATGCCTTGTGGGTGCTGGGAATCTAACCCGGGTCTTCTGCAAGAAAAACCAGTGTTCTTAACCACTGAGCCAGCCTTCCAGCCCTCTATTTTATTTTTTAATAATTTTTGTTTATATTTAATTTTAATATTTTAAATATTTTTTATTATTTTTGTGTATATGAGTGTATTGACTACCTGTATATAAATGTACCTGTGTCATGCATGCAATGCACACAGAGGCCAGAAGAGGGCTTCAGAACCTCTGGAACTGGAATTACAGAAGGTTGTTATCCATCATGTGGGTGCTGGGAATCAAACCTGGGTCCGTTGTAAGAGGAGCCAATACTCTTAACCACTGAACCATCTCTCCAGTCCACTAATGATGTTTTTTGTTGTTGTTGTTGTTTTTGGTCTTTTTGAGACAGGGTCTCCCTGTAGCCCCAGCTGGCTTGGAACTCACTATATAGACCAGGCTGACCTTGAACTCACAGAGATCTGCCTGCCTCTGCCTCCCGAGTGCTGGGATCAAAGGTGTGTGCCACCATGCCCCACTCTCAAATGACGTTTTTAATGATGATGTTTATAGATAACTTTTTATTTAGAAATAGCTAACTAATGCAGGCCTCTTGCCCAATGGCAGAACCAGGAATCCAAGTATGTCTGGCTGGAGGATGCGGGTAGTAAGGAGGGGCATTGACAGGGAACTTGACATAGTGTCTGTCACATGTAAATGTAGTACTTTAATTTTTTTTTTTTTTTTTGGTCTTTTTGAGACAGGGTCTCCCTGTAGCCCCAGCTGGCCTGGAACTCACTATATAGACCAGGCTGGCCTTGAACTCACAGAGATCTGCCTGCCTCTGTCTCCCGAGTGCTGGGATCAAAGGTGTGCACCACCACACCTGGCTGTACTTTAATTTTTATTGTAACTTTTAAAAATATTTTATTCAGCCAAGTGTGGTGGCGCACGCCTTTGATCCCAGCACTCGGGAGGCAGAGGCAGGCAGATCTCTGT